TTCCTTTCTTCCTTTCATTTAATTTATCTATTTACATATCATTAGCCACATCGAGAAACAGAAAGCGAACGAGTAGACAGCGTACCAACATCAACACCAGTMCCCAACGTCCACCCAAAAGAACCTGATAACGAGGCCAAGGTCGAACGAGAAGCCAAACAAGTGCTAAATGAYATTGTCAATCAAGTCATCACTGAGGATAATGCTCCTATATGACAATTAGCCCTGCGTGATTTGAGAAAAGTTTGTTGTGATTCATACCGCTGGCCAAGTACTAAGCTACCGTCATCTCATTCGATTATGACGTCATTTTAAGGTCGTCCCCAATTTTGTCACGTGACGAAATAAACTTTTAGTTAAGCAAGATTTTGGTTGATTAGCATCAAACTCTTGGGCCATATCCCCAAAATTATGTTAAATGATTCTTTCCCGACAATTATATTTTATTTATTTTTCCCTCTTGCATACTTCTTATACGTTATGTTAAGACCAATTTTTGGGCCCATATATGTTTTTTCTCAGGTACCTTGAAAATTTGAAATCATGAATGAAAAATAAATGAAAGTTTGAAAGAGATAGATGGATGAAAACTTTTCACGAATCACGTGGGATTTCGATAAGTGCGAAATAAACCGCACTATATGCAGATGCAGTGTAAATATACAAAGTAAATATTGTTGATTTTGAACGTAAATACGTGAAAGATTAAAATACAAACCGTGTTACTGACAAGGCGCGCAATAGACCTCTTGCATGTGACGTCAAAGCAGCTCTWTTTGGAGGACAAAACGAAATAATCTCAATCTCCAGAGAATTGGAAACATATTGTTATATCCTCCAAATTGAGCTGTATTCCGTCGTACTGCAAGAGGTTTATATGCATGATGACCGTGCCCGTGTGTCTTAAGAAATCTGTAGCTATGATATTGGGTTTAGGATAATAAAGTAATTACAAAATATTAAGAACATTTCTTGTAGTTCATTTTAGCATTTGCTCACGTGTTTGCTTTCTGAACTCGTTCCGTTTTCAAAGTTATTTATTTCTTCCAATTGCTCAAACATTCATTCATTTCTTTCTCCCGTCCTTCCTACTTCTTTCCTCTTCTTCCTTCTTTTTATTCATTCATTCATTTATTCATTCATTCATTTATTCATTTCATTCCAAACCAGTAAATCGTGAATATTGTGGAATTACCATGCAAGATGGCCACACCCAAAAGGTCCATTGTCTCTCTGCTCTGCTCAACCCAGGTAAAGACACTGGGATTGAGGTCCAGGCCTCCTCTTTCAATTCATTAATGACGTCACACAAGGTCAACATGCACATAAGTACACCACAAACACCAAGTCATTCTCATCTTTATTCTCCATACTCGCAAGGAGCAACAAGACTTGTGTCTTMAAACTCGTACAAACTTATCGTAGAGATACAATCGAAGAATTTCAGCAGAAAACTAAAGGTAAAATGATTCATTCGTTAAATATATTTTGCGTGTTCCATCAGTTTTAAATGCCCTTGAGCGCGCGAATTTTAAATCTTATATCATTGTTTGGTTCAAAAATCGTTTTCTATCCGTGCATTCTAAAAGTAATTTTCTTCAAATTAAGTTTATAGTTTTGTGTAATCCTTTGGCAAGCAAGATACTGCTAAGATGTAGTGCATTTTTTCTTCAAATTAAGTTTATAGTTTTGTGTAATCCTTTGGCAAGCAAGATACTGCTAAGATGTAGTGCATTTTTTCTGAGATTACATTCCTTTCAGAATGGGATGGATACCTTGAACTATAATTGAAATATTACTGATGAAAAGTTCGTTAAGGTTCTTTCAAGTACTACGGTCAATTAAATATATCTGAATAAATTTGAATAAATTCTCAAAAGATCTTTTATCCCAAGCATCTCTTGCTTTCGTGTTAGAAGTTCATGCAACAAGACTATCACGTGCCTAATCTGTTGGTTAGATAAGTAAACTTTTGTAATAATTATAATTTATTGTGGTTGGAGGGCAGTTTTCGTACTGGAGAAACAGGGTTTTTCTTTGTAAGGACTAGACTTTCAACCTAAAATATTTCAAACATACACTTTGCATTCAATTTGAATAGCCCACGATAACCGAATAAGGGCCACGTTCAAAGCTTTATAATGTTTGTGTGTGTGTGTTTAAAATCGACTTAATCAGGTTATATAATTCAATGATGTAACACGCTATCCTTATTGGAATAGATATCTTTGTTTGAGTTGCATCATTTCAATAGAGAGTTTTAGATTAACTTTTCTTTTTTCCCGCAAACGGCAAACGTGACCACGTTTTCATCGTTTTCCTGTATTTTACTTTACCTTTTACAAACCTTCTCACCAAGCGCAAATACTCTTTTGTTTTTCTACTACTTGGACTTTTTTGCGATTCTTTTTCGGTAATTTAAAAGAACTTTTTACTGGTCAACTGACGTTTCACGTTTGTCGTGAACGTAAATCTAAAACTCTCTAATATTAATGTATCTCCTCGATAGGCACTGGGGTAATACTTGTAGGGTATATAAAAGGGACGAAACATTCTACGATATAAGGAGAAAACTTCGCCTCATTAAAAGGTGCAAGGACAGACGCAATAGCTAAAAGCCTTCTGATTAATGCTGAAATAATGTGCAAAGGCATTAAAAAGATTACCATATAAAAGTACAGTTATGTTTTTTTTGATACAATGGAACCTCTAACGCGCGAACACCTTCGGGACCTTGCTTGGCGTCCACTGACGTAATGTTACGCCTCGGCATTTGAAATTCCACTCGGATTTTGAAACCCCAATAGAATACACCAATTCGTATTTGACACGACAACTTATACTCTTTATGTTATGTTTGTTTTTATTTCAAAGTTCCAGTACTTTGAAATGGGTGCGGTCGTATTTGATGAGGGTTTCAAACTACTGCAGGGTACAATTAAGAAACCCTTTCCCGATGTTTCCTGACAGTTTTGCCACCTTAGGGAACATTTAGGGAAACATGTTTCCTCGTTTAGCCAGGGCCTTACAGTAAATACGTACGAGGAGTAAATACTCGCATTTCGAGTTCGCCTTTGCTCAGTCTTAGCCTCGATTGTGTACAAATGTGTTCTTTTCTTTCATTAAGGTCCATTGTATAGTAAGGAATGTACGCAATACGGAACAATACGAGTAGGTTAAAATGTCACGGGTTTTGGTTGAATAGCTGAATATTAACACAAAACCGAGACTAAGGCTGAGCAAATAAAGAGAACTCGAACCTGGAGTATTTCGGAAGCGTGTTACTCGCTGTCCGTTTAATGAAGGGTGACCGCTTAATAGATATATTAATTTATGAGTAATAACTTGAACTATTACTTTCATAGCTACACCATGAATCGTCTTCATGTGATTCTGTTGCTTGTCTTGTCCTGTGCATGTTCGACTCATGGCTGGTCTCTCTGGCCCTTCTCAAGTGACGAGGCAAACGAAGGCGACAGTGATAATGGCGCGCATTTGGTTAGGAGTCCTGTACCTTTTGAAATGACTGGCGCCGAGGAAAGATTTTTAGCAGAAGCGAAGAAATACATGGGAGACTTGAAACCCCTTGACTCTTGCCATCAGATTGTAAGTCAGTAATTCTTAGTTTGACAAGGAAATTATTGCGCGCAATGGTTTAAACTATCATACGCTAGCGTTTTAACTCTAATAGAGCGTTTTCACTCACATGAGAAGACATCCAAATTGGTGTACCAAACAATAAAAATTTTCTGCAAAGTTTTTGCATAAAAGATAGAGCTCAATTCCCGGAGGATAGAAAATGTATTGTTTTAGCACACCAGCTTGGTCGCTGCGACGTTACGTTAAAACAACTCTACAGATTCCGTATGACTGTAAAACATTACTGCACCGGCACGGTCACGGTAAGTTTGACATGCGACATCAGTTCCAACCAATTACAATGCAAGAGAATACTGCTCATCCAATCATATCAAGTCGTTCAGCCTGTTACGGTACGATTATAGAGCGTCTTTTTAAAAAAAAAGACACAGAGCTACTATGCCGTGCCGGTGCGGCGAGCGTCTTTAAGAGCTTGCTCACGGATTAAATTAAAATTTAGCTTGTTAGGTTTTGAGAGGGGATAAAAACCTGGAAAAAAAACATTGAATCAAGGAAGAAACCTAACATATTCTCCTCGCGTGTGATGTAAAGTCCAGGCATATCGAACCTGAGACCCCAGAGATGAGGTGTGTCTACTGCTGCTACATCAACCTTGATTCCCTACACGAGATATCTTAATATCTCGAATAACTTTAGTAAATGCTTAATATATTTATCGCTATTCAGGTAATCAACAGAATCAAAAAATCCTGTAGTGACATCAACGAGGAAGAACTCGGTAAACTTGGCGTCCAGCTACTGAACTGTCAATCATTAGCAGAAAATCGGCCAACGTACAAATGYACCGACGAAATGGTTAGTGTTTACGTTTGTATTAATATGTATGACCACAGAGAATACATTCCTTTGCAGTGGTATACGGGCAAGTTACGGCGCTCGATTCCAACTTTGATTTTGTAATTTGCCATTAATAAAGTATTTATGATAAAAGGAAATCTGGCGAGGGAGTACAAAATAGCAACCAACAGCTTTTAACTTGAGAAAAGCAGAATAGACCTCTTCGGCTTGGGGTAATGTTTTCCCATTTCAGACCACGTGTCATTCCCTTGAGAATAAGATTCTTTGTTTTAGTTGTATCCATATTCATGTGTCTTCTCAAGTGCAACCGAGCGCAAACCTTAAACAAAGAAATGATACTCTAGAGAATGACATGTGGTCTGAAATGGGAAAACATTACGTCAGAGCCGAAGAGGTCTATTAACAGTCAAGCTGAACGAAAACTACTTCCAATAAGATTAAGAGGCTTCATTGGAACATCACGTTATGGCAGCCATGACAGAAAGTACAACAGTCTTTTCCACCTTGAGAATAACAATTCTTTCTCATGTAAATCAGACTAGACCAGATTCAATTGTTCCTGCCTCYTSTCATGGYTGCCATMACGTGATGGTGCAAATTAASCCTCTACACGACCATTTTTTCTAGGCTCTCGCGCAGTGTACCTCGGGAATGGACGTAGCCACATGGAACAGCTACCACATCATCAGTAACAGAGCGCGGTCAGTTTGCTATGCCACCAGGCAGCAACAGTTCCGCCTCAAGACTGAGTACACTGTTAATAAACTAGGAAAACAAGCTGG